ATGCTTCATTTTTTGAATTATACAATTAAAATTTAATTCTGGGCAACATGCTTAAGCCTTTTCCCGTAAATTCACATATCATTTTTCATGTTCTATAGCAAAGTTTACCGACCTCAAATGAATCGCTATCAATTGTGATAAACCATGCGAGTGTCAGTTTGAAACAAACTGGAAGTGGGCGGCACTTTTTAAATGTGAATGGGCTTGAATGACCTTACTGTTTTGTAAACAGCTATCGCTTTGATCTTTAAGATTCATGAATATTGTGTCAATAAAAGATCGTGTCTTTAACTGCTCGATTCGTGCACAAAGAATGTGTAACAATGCTGTATATTTGTTATTTGCATAAACGCCGGTTCATACTACAGGAGAATGTGAAAGGGGGGCTAATTTGACGATATTAAAGATAGCCAAATTTCGCTCCAGCGCAAAGATTTGATCTGACATCATGAATTCGTCTTGTGTTCGCTTTCGTTCCAAGTATGAACCGGCCTTAAGGCTGCATCTCAATAACGATCAGTCTACAAGACAATTTGTGTCTATTCCCTTTTAGCTGCGTTTGCAAAGCCCACGCACAAAAAGGAATAAATTACCCAAAAGTTGTTTTCTCTATTTTTAATGTGCTGAACTTCCAAAATATGTGCGGAACTTCCTCTAAATCTGTGATAAATACTCCTTTCAGAGAAAATCCGGTTAGACTATTGCTTGGACGCAGACTTGTTTATTGGAGTTTCCAGCACGCAGTTTCCACTCAGCCGGACTTGGGAAGTAAATCGTTGGGATGCTGGGGCTGTTAACCAAACTTCACCATCCTCGCTTCGTGCGCATGCAGCCAGCGTCACTGGAGATACTCGGTGTCGCCAGAAAGGTAGTTAGTTTCCGAGAACTGAACTTCACACAGACACCAGTGAGCCCCCTGGACAATACCACAGAGAGCGAGACATGACAAGGCAGAACGAGGAAGGAGCGAATGTAAGGGAGGCCTGTCACCGGTCATGTCTGTTCCTTGCTCTGAAATAAGTCCTTGAAAAGACGAAACTTGATTAGGGTTTGTTGTTGACGGAAGAGGAGAGAAGAAGACCCTGTTTATTTCGATCACCCAAACCATTTATTTCAACCGTCGGCAAATACAATATGGCTTCACTCTGTTTCATGCTTCCGGGATATATGTACCTGTATACAGCTCTTCCCTGTTCTGCTAATGTGATTTATCGACAGTCATTCGTGATTTTAGCTCTCTGTCTGGGTTGGACTTTGTTAAAAGCCCAACTGCCGGAGGCTGTTATTCGGCCACAAGAAACTATATAGGCCTATTAATTGAGAGCGAGTATGAGGGGGATCGGACCAAATCAATCAGGTGGAAGAAAACAACTTTCATTTTTGATAGTTTGTACGGAAAGATACATTTCTTAAGATGGCGACCACCTGGTGGCTACATCATCTGTGGATGCGACTGGTGGAAACGAGTCGGGGGGAAAACGACCTCAATTATTCCACGTGTAGCACGATCCTGTTACTCACCCGGAGGGAAGCAAAACGTGTACGAAACATGAAACAATAACATCCCCGTTCAGCCTTCGAGGACCTTGATCTGGCCGGCGTAAAAATGTGGTCCCTAAAAACTCGATTACATGTATAAATACATGTATAAGATATAACCCTTCGATATTCCTCAACAGAATATTGATGTGCATGATTTCACTCAGGGCAAACATTGACGAGATAATGTCGGTGAATTCTTATGGATTGAACCCATCAGGATATTGACTGACCTTCGAGTTCATTTTTTCCCGGACAATCCCTCGACATAGTAACATGGCGTGCGATCCGTATTAAAATAATCTTGAATGTCAGGGACATTATCTTTCACTTCCCCCCTTTTCCATTGTCTTTTACCTTAAATCCATTTTTTTCAAGGGGACCCCGAGGGATCTATTTCTATTCCCGCCTTTTCTCTGTACTTTAGAACGAGAGCCATTCCGAAATCTCAGCACCAAGACATTTTCCACTGAGTGGCGCCGGAGACACAACTCGTGTTCTGTAATTCTATTTCTCGCAGGCAAATGACATTAATTGGCTCGACAGCCAGAAAATCGAGTCTTGCATTCGGGTGTGCGCCGGGGAGAACACGTCGGCTATACCCCGCCGGCGAGGCAGGTGTTAATCCATCGCTCGTCTTATCCACGCGTTACCTCTCCCCAAGGTCACACACCCGATTATCAAACTTCTTCAAATATAGCTCTCTCTCTTTCTTTCTCTCTCAAAAAGATCTGCAGTGTTCTGTAATAAATGCCACATCGATTTGTAGGGGGCCAATGCGGCCTGGGCCTGCGGCTCAAGTTTTTATCTCCTTTTCGACGGGTTTCATCGTTTCAGCGGTTTGCAGATATGCAGACGCCAGCATGCGGATGTGACCCGCGGGCTCTTGTCGAGATGTCTTGAGCACCCGTGAAACTCAATCCGGACCCGCTCGGAAAATCCGTCGATAATGAAGTCGTTAATAAAGCTGCATAATTTGGTGCTTTTGCCGTGGAATTTAGAACTGCACTCTGTGCTCACGCATAGGCATATAAGAGGAAATTAGACTGAACTGCACGGACTTAATTGCTGCATCCATCGTAATTGCTCTGAGCAATGTCCGCCAGGGGTTACCAATGTTCGCAGTATTTCACTTAATCGTGATCAAGAAGCTGCCTGAAACACAGCTGGATGTAGACGAGCACTACTCGAAGAGCTTCTCATTCGGATGGGGAAAATAAGATTGGATTCTTAAGCACTGCTTAAAACAGAATATCTGCATCGAGATGACTTGGCTTAAACGATGATTTTAGTTTAGAAACTGTACTGTGCTGAGGAGTGATAACATTATTGGCTTATTCACTGGCTCTGACTTTTGTCCAATTCCTCGGCAAATAAGGTGGATTCCGTAAAGGTCTGTGTCTTTAAAGCACTCCTCTCCCGTCCCAGGGGAAGGCCTACTAATAATCCTCGCTAATGTTTCGCATTCTCTTTTATTACAATCGATCACCCCGCCAGAGGCCATTTTCGGGAAACAGATATCGGGAATGTAAATTTGCTGTGACGCCTTCAAAGCCAATATACCTGTATAAAAATGGGGGGGGGGGGACAACTCATCGCTTCGCCGAACCCCGCCCACTCGGCCTTTCAGGGGATGACAGATTCAGTGCCAACTGTTTGTGAGTGAAATCCTTCCTCCAGACCTGCTGACAGCCAGGACATAAAACACCCAGCCAACGAAAGGTTTGGGTATTCACGACAGGGAGCTTCTCAGAATTGCAGTCTAAGACCAGAGATTTACTACTATGCAAACGTCCAAGATTATACCCAGGGCAAGCCATGCCTTAGCCCCACCCGTTGGGTTGTAGCACAACTACGCAACGTGCTGTCCGAACATCCTCGTAATTTTGTTCTGAAAGCCTCTGGTTGCCCTTTCGATTTATGGAACGGTATCCTTATTTATAATGCATCAGAGTCGTGCACAAGATTATAAGGATCACAAAGTATTGTAAAAAATATTTTATAAGGAAAATCGATAGTACCAAATTTAAGGCACAATTGCATTCCTTATAATGCTACTTTCATTTACTGGAATCTAATACAGCTACCAAAAGGCGACAGGAATAGATATAAAACTTAATAAAATAAACTTCATAGGTTGGGGTTTATTTAAAAACCTAAACCGACCTTTCTTTTTCTGTACACACTCTTTGTTTGTACGCAGTTGTTCCCTCAGCTCACTGATTATAAAA